ATAAAATTATTCTTACACTTTGTCACTTGGAGATGATATTTCCTCCATCATTCTTTACTGTTATGGTTCACTTGACTGTCCACCTTGTTCGAGAAGCAAAGGTTGCTGGCCCAGTTCACTATCGATGGATGTACCCTATAGAGAGGTACTAGATTATCTTTTATTCCCGCCTCTTTAAATTTCACATTGTTCTTTCATTTACTCGTAATTATTAATGCAATTTTAACTTACAGGTACTTGGGAAAATTAAAATCATATGTTAGGAATAAGGCATGGCCTGAGGGGTCAATAGCAGAAGGTTATTCCGGAGATGAGGTCCTAACTTTCTGTTCGAGGTACTTTGATGACATGGAGACATCTTTTAACCGCCCGCGTCGCGTAGATGATTCTCCTCCCGGTCCTTCCACGTCAACTTTATTTCCTCCTGTTGGGAAACCAGTTGGAGGATATGAATTCTTCAGACTCACTCCTACAGAGAAACTCCAGGCACACAGACACGTTTTGATAAATTGCAGCCAAGTTGAACCCTTCATGCAGTAAGTATATATATCATATAAGCTCACTAGCTTTTACACTTTATATTTGTTTCTTACTGACTCTTCTAACAAATTACACTTTACTATAGTGAGTTTAGGAGTTATCTCAGGCGTCAGCTACGGGGCCGTGCGCGTTCTGCTGACATTGATAAAAGAGTCCACAAAGAGTTTCCCAGTTGGTTTACACGTCGAATACGTAATGACAACAGCCCATACACAGATGAATTCAGAGCTCTTTCTCTCGGTCCGTTAGACCATGCACGAGGTTTACCGCGTACAATGTCAACGGCTTCAAGTTCTGTACGGTTGCACGTGATCAGGGATTGCTCACACAAAACTCTGGAGTTTGCGGGACATTCGGAACGAGATGTTATGCTAGCAGTAGTGATGGCGATATGCGCTTTGGAGGCGTCACTTACTATGGAAAGCTAATTGACATTATTGAGTTGACTTACCAGCTTTTCACCGTGACACTGTTCAAATGCTCCTGGGCAAATACGACAACTTCACGGGGACTCGCTACTGACCATTTGGGCATCACCTCAGTCAATTTCTCAAGACTTATTCATACGGGGGCATCTGAAGATGATGAGCCATATATCCTTGCTTCTGAGGCACACCAAATTTACTATGTCGAGGACGAGAAACATAAAGACTGGAATATGGTCGTTCACCTCAAGCCACGGGATCTTTACGATATGGGTGATGGTGACATTATTTACGACAGTGAACCCTTCCAACCCTCGAATTTTGAAGACTTCTTTCCTCAAGGAGATGATAATTTGCCACTTATCAGGTACACGTCTTTTCTTAAATTATTTAAATAATTAACTACTAATTACTAATTTTTTCCAAATACAACATAAATTTAACAAATTTTTTTAAAATATGTCCTTTCAGGCCGGATGATGATGGAGAGTAGCAGCATCCAAAATAAATTATTTAACAAATTTTTCGTCCATAAATACATATGTATAAATTAAAATTCGTAAAATTTTTTAAAAATAAAAAAATTTTCATTTGTAGCGGTTATTAACCGCTACAAATTTTTTCACGAAATTGTAATTTGTAGCGGTTATTAACCGCTACAAATTACAATTTCGTGAAAATTGTAATTTGTAGCGGTTAATAACCGCTACAAATTACAATATCGTGAAAAAATTTGTAGCGGTTATGAACCGCTACAAAATACATACCTGTAAATTAAAATTCGTTCAGATTTTAAAAATAAAAAATACTAACTTTCTAGCGGTTAATAACCGCTACATATGTAACCGCTACTAATTACTAGCGCTTTTATATACGCTAGAAAATGAATAACAGCTACAAAATGTTATAAAACGCTACAAAAACACCGCTACAAATGTGTCGCTGATCTCTATAAATACCATATCTTCTCTACATTCATTTACTCCATCTCTTTCCTTCCTCTCCTATTCTTCTTCATAATTCTCTCTTTTTTTCTTACTATCTCATATTGTGATTTTTTTCTCTTTACTCTATGGTAAGTGAATTTTATTTTATAATTCATTGTATCTTTTATTTTTTTTATTTAAAATTTACTAACATATTTATTTCTCCTTTCCTTTCAGATTTTTCTTCTCCACATTTGTCATGCCCTCCTCAACTGATTCAAATACTCATCAACTTAATACTATAGGTTCAATATTCCAAAATATCATCTTCAATTCAACTATCTTATTAAATATTCAATTAAATTATCTTGTTAGATTAAATTCACTTCTTTTAACACATTCATAATTTAATTACATATTTTTTATTACAAAATTTGAATATATAAAATGTAACATATAACTAATTATACAAATTAACAAAAATTCTTCAAAATAATTTATTTAATGGTTTTTAAAATTATAATATGAAAAACCATAAATTTTTTTTTCTGGCACGGTAAACATTTCTAGCGGTTCAGAACCGCTAGAAATATTTTGTCAAATTTAAATTTCGCGCCAAACTTTCTAGCGGTTAAGAACCGCTAGAAAATTTTCCCGCCATTCTAAAAATTCAATTGGTGTGAAAATTTAATTTCCCAAATATTTCTAGCGGTTCTATAACCGCTAGTAATTTTCGCGCGCTACTGAAATTATTTAATTCCCGTTTAGCAGGTTTCTAGCGGTTACAAAACCGCTAGAAATTTTTTCCGGGGAAACTTTTCTAGCGGTTATAAAACCGCTAGAAACGTTTCCCCGGAAAAAATTTCTAGCGGTTTTGTAACCGCTAGTAATGTGGCTCCTTCAGATAATTTCTAGCGGTTCGTAACCGCTAGAAATGTTCTATCGTTTTGACCATGATGTGTAGCGGTTGAGATAACCGCTAGAAATTTTTTCTAACACCTGTTTTTCTAGCGGTTTCGTTAACCGCTACAAATGTTATTTGTAGCGGTTAAAACCGCTAGAAATGTAACACCATAACCGCTAGAATTAACATATTTTTTTGTAGTGTTGATAAGATAGGGAAATTTTTAATTAATTACCAAGCTTAAATTATTAGTCAATTCAGGGTGGTTTTCTTCTGCCAACGCATGATGATTATCATGATCTCCCCTCCCCCCCCCCCCACCTATATATTATGTGATTTTCATTATTGAATTTAAAATTATAAATATCCCTCTCTATTTGATTTATATCGTGTTCTAGTGATACTGTACTGTAAGAGCGAGTTAAATTTTTTATATTACTCTTTCGGTTCTTAATATAAAACTTATTTAACTAATTTGATTAGATTAAGAAAGTTAGGTAAGTTAGTTAATTATAAGAAAGATGACATATTTTTTCTAAAAGATCATAATTATCTTATTTAATATTCTCCCTCCGTCTTCTACTTCATTATGATTGAGGGAGTATCCATATGAGTAATTTAAGAAAAATTAATAAAGATGAAAAATGTATATTATATTTAGAACCAGAATCAACTCAATAATTAAGTCTTATATTAAAAACTGGAGGAGTATATTGCAGAAGCCGTCAATGCCATCGAGTTCGGAAGAATAGCCACATAGTGAGATATTTTATTACTAAAATAAAATATTATTTTTCTGATCTGTTGTTATAACTTATTTTTATTCTATGTAATTGATTGACATATCGCACGCCGCAGACTAAACGGATGGGAAAAATAATAATCAAATCTAAGAAACATAATTATTAGGGAACATAACAATAAAGCTCCATGGAAACCAAAAAGCAGTGGCTTCAAATTTTATCTTGATCAATATTTCTCAATAATTTGCTGAAAATTCAACCGTTGATATATATGTGTGTACGCGTGTGCATGTGTGTTGACCATATGAACCGTGAAGATTTTTTCCCTCCAAGAAATAAGGGCATTTTGATCACTTTACTAGAGGATCTTTGGGACTGTAGCGCAACATTTCAAAAAATTAATTAGGCGTAATACATCATTTTGGTGGGGTTTAATTGTCATTCTCCCTAATTATCAATAAAAAATAGATTGAAATTAGGAGGATTATTGTAGTCCTAGGTCGGAACATCATTTGGAAGCAAAATTAATCCTCACCTGTAAATTGACTGTATGGTGTGTGGTGTTACGTGTATCAGTGTCACAATACAAACAATTTGCCTTTTCGTTGATTTGTTTGGCATGGATAAGAATTAATAATTAACACTAAACCTATGTGTCACTTATCACGCTACCAAAAAAAGAGTTGGGAGGTATTGAATTATAGTATTAGTAAAATTATTCAAACAAATATGCGAGACGTGTATGAATTATATATGCAATCCATTTATATATCTGCTGTCATAATTAATTATTGATCTCCAAATACGCTTCATGAATGTATATGGTTGCTCAAGTTTCCTATGTCACTTAATGACATGTCATGATATCACAGTGCAAAATAATCGAAGTCCACCTCTATCATTTTGAAAGCGTCAAAGTGAATCGATGGAGTGGAGGGTTTCACACATCACTTCTTTGGGTGCAAGTCTGGGCGAAACTGCTGTCCATTAAAGTATTAATTAACAAACACATATATTATGTCTAGGAAGCTGCACGACACTTAATTAATGTTTAAAGAAATAAACAAGTCTGTCTACAATATATAATAAACAATAACATTAATATAATAGTAATCCTTGGATTACTAATTATCGTGGCGATTCTTAAGCCTTAAACAGCGTTCTCGAGCTGATTAATTACTAAATACACATTACACAAAGCCAGGCCAAGCCATATTATTCCATGCATCACTCTGCGAAACGGCAAAACCTAACCACATTTTTGTTTTTTAAAACTGGGAAGCGCCTCTTAGCCCACCATATCACACGGAAAAGAAAAGAAAGAAAGAAAGAATAAATAAAAGGAAAGTGACACTCTAATTTTTTCCACGAAAAAAGTTGATGGCATGCCTTTAAAATAAACCGCAGGACCAGGGGTGAAATGGTAATCCAGTGGATTTATAAGTAGATGGCTCCAGCTCATACCCCGACACACCCGCACAGAGAGTTTCAACTACACTGATCTAAAGTGACCGATCGAAGATGTTTAGCCCATCCCGTCACAAAACTCTTCACCCTCTTCATCAAGCTTCCTATCTAAAATCATCGTCTTCAAGCTTAAGCTCCATGAAGCTGAAAAGCCTCATCCACACCCTCATAGTCTCGCGCATATGCCGAATCATTCGTGCACTGTCCAAAGTCAAAACCATTATCGTTGAGATTCTCAGGGATAACCAGTCCATCAACTTCAACCCTCGTCACAAAAAGCATTATACCAGGAACAAGAAGATCATCCTGGGATCCTTCAGGCTTCATTACAACTGGTGTTCTTCTAAATCTTCCCATGTCTTGCCAGTCCCCACCCATATTTTCCAAGAGCTGCCTTCATCGGCAGCCGCAAACTCTTACTATGATTCCAGTTGGAATGTTTCGTGCGAGCAACAATTACAAGGTGATGGTGAGGAATGTCCTGACTCCCAGCTCGCAGGTTACCTTCAGTGGCTGGAGGATAAGGGTACGGAAGAAGAATCGAAACGGGAGATTAACGAGATTGACGTGCTAGCAGAAATGTTTATTGCGAACTGCCACGAGAAGTTTAAGTTGGAAAAGCAGGAGTCTGATCGGAGGTTTCAGGAAATGTTGGCCAGGAGCATGTAAAATAACAAAGCAAGCCCAGTTATGGTGAAGTTTGATCCATCGTATTCAGGGGCTTTTGAATTAATGACCGTCATATTTTCTTTTCCTCTTTCTTTTGTTGTAACTTTTCAAAAAGAAAGAACTGATATATGTGCGCGGAATTGGAATTAATGTGGGATTCTTCTTTTCACGTATAGGCATTTCCGTGGTGGTTTTCTTTTCTAACTAGCGGCCTTCATCAAAGTTTGATCACAAGTTTCAACGTTTCAATTATTGTCTCCTCCTTATCAGCTTGACCGGATCTTCTCTGTAATTATACTTGCCACTTGTTTATTTGCGTACAGGCGATGAATCGATATACGTTGTAGATATCTCAAAAAAGGGAAAAAAGGAAAATAGGACTTTGATTATATATATTGCCTTCGATCGAATTTACATAACAGCAGTATAGTTTGCGTTTATCGATAATAATTTAGTTCGATGACGTACCACTTTAAACGGCGCCGTCCTGGTCTCCTGGACTGCGGGACACCATAATTAGTGCCAAAAACATTATCCATTGTTAATTTGGTGCCACTGTGCTTGTTTGCTAGCGCTTGTGTGATTTGTGACATAAACATTATTAATTGACTATGTTTCGCTTTTTTCTTTATATTATAATTAATGAGGAATAATTTATATCCCCGTGAAGCTTCCGACCGGATTTCTTGCGATATTTGCTTGCAAAATCTTTAGTACATATGTCCATCTATATAGGCTATACGATTTTGTGTAACTCAGTAAGTTTGGTCTGATTTTATAGTCTTCATTTTTATTCGACCGTCTCTTACTTAACTCTCACCTACTCCGACCCACCTTAAGTTGTTCTATTTGACTCGTTACCCGAAATTATTGTTACTTGTTCACGTACGTTATCTTTCATACACTTGAGTATATATAAATTGATTATATATATTCATAGCTTTAGCAGAGCTTCGTTAGACAAAGGTCGCCCGAAAAGCGTAAAAGAATAATAAATTATTAAGAACCTAGCTTAGGTAGCTAAAATGCCTTCTATACCGCTCTTCTTGGAAGATTCACAAACAGAAAGGACTCTTTATTGTATTGGGCTCTTAAGCAGGAATCTTAATCTCGACACTGGCTCAGATAATGATAATTAATGACATTAAATTCCGGGTTCCCCGTTAGATAGGTAACTACATGCATGGATCAAACCACGCAATCTCAGTTAAACCACACACTAGGATAGGACAGCTAGACACAGAGAGCTTTGATTTTTGGAGGTGGCAGATATAAAGTGATAGATCCAATATATATAGTTTCTTTCTTACAAAACCCAAAGTCCCAGACATGGGTAAACTAAAAATCGAAGAATCCATCTCGTCGTTAGTCCTGCATATTTGCCAAATGGTTTTCCAATGTGCATATGGCATTGTTTGTTGGCATGGATAATGGAGAATAAAGAGGAAAAGTGAAGCTTGTATAAGAAGAGAAGTCCCAGAGCAGGCGGCTCAAATATGATTAATACCTGTTACGTCGTTGCATATGATTTATTGGGTCTCATCATATTACAAAATCATGTTCTTTATCATCCCTATTAACTTTCAGTTCTCTTTTTCACTGTATCTTGATAACAAAAATAACCACTGATCACATATATGTGGATGACAAAAGCATAGAGTCGCTGATGTCGTACTTGGATGCGCGCGGTTATGTAATGTGAAAGCAAAAGGTTTACCGATATTTCCAAATTCAGATATCAATTAGTTTAGTCTGAAGTTAGTATAGAAGATCAGGGCAAGGGTAACATTTACTGCTTTTTCACGGTTAATAGATGCTTTTTTCAGGTTCCACACCAGCTGTCCAACTTGCTTGTAATAGTTTTAGTAATGGGTTCTCAATAATCAGGCTGAATTTGTTTGTACCTAGTAAAATAAGTGGCGAAAGTTCTTCCTTTTCCTTTTTCTAGGGCGTCTCCGGGATTTGAGATTAATAGACCCAATTTCTAATACTTACTCAGTCTAAACTTTTTTTTTTTGGGGGGGGGGGGCCTAGAAGTCTAGGGATAATCATTGGTCAATGATATTGTGGAGTAATTAAAGTTTTTGGATCTTGCGGGACGCTGCAACGATCTGTCTCAGTAAAGAAATGGAAATGAGTGTGGAACTAGACAAAAGAAGAGACAAGTAGTTGTCTGGTTCGGCCATGTGGTGGTACCTCCAGCATTATTAATTAAGAATTCACATAATCAATATCACATCCACGCCGAAATGACGCAACACAGGATCAACTAGGCATTAATTATCAGATAATAGCAAATGTAAAGCTTGTTTAATCTTGATATGTTTCGTAGAATAACAACGTTGCATTAATTGTATGTTCTGATCGATCAATGATCTGATCTTTAAGTGTTGTGACCAGTCAAGTGTGCTTTTTACTGTTAAGGGGATCATGGTACAGTGAAAGAAGGCATCAATATTGATGCCCTCTTTTTTTTTGGTCTTGAGGGGGTTTTTTCCCCCTTTATTCCAAAACCTGTTTCTTTAGCTGCTTTATTTCGAGAGGAAGGAAGCTTTTGGAAGAGAGGTAGAGGGGTAGAATAGGTTCCTTTGGTCTGCATGTTTCCTGAGAAATGGACTGGCTTTAAACATATATACGTAAAAGTGAGTGCATGGTTGAAAGGCCCCTTGATGGGTTTTTTATTCCTGTGCACACACATAGCTGAAGCTTCTTCTGTTTATCACTTCAAACATGTAAAGGTTATTAGTTGTTGGACCACATGCCACAGAATATTTCTGCACCTAGTCAGGCTAGACAGTCTTTTCAGGTGATAATGTCTCGTCCCTGACTGTAAGTTTTGTACACACAACAGGTTATGGTTGTTCAGAGACAGTCAGCGAGTCAACTAAAACTACTAGCACGCTTTTATTTTTTATTTTTTTACCTCGAAAAATATTCAATGTCTGTGTTTTATATTTGAGTTTATAAATTAAATATTGAAAAATAATTAAGAACATTTAGTGTATCGGTAATTAATATGTGCCTTAATGTGCATGCCTCTACCGTATCCAACTGACCAACTATGATATTAGGAAACTGTCGTGAAAGTCTGAGGGAGGATACGGATATTTTTCTATAGAGAAGATAAATCCCTGTATGCAGAAGGCAAATAGGATCGGGATACAAAACCTACTTCATCCCAATGTTAGCAAAAATAATACTCTCTCTAGTTCTAAATGTAAGACTCATTTTATAGTATAATTTACATTACAAAACATGTCTTATATTTACGATTAGAGGAATATTAATTAAATAAATTAATATTTTTTTATTACAGCGATGTTCTCTTTCCTGACATTAAATATTTATGTTTGCACATTATTTATTTATATTTGGCTAATTTTCAATGAACGAGAACAACAGACAAGCATGTGATATAATTAATCCGTGATGGAAGGAAAAAAAATGGAAGAAAGAATCAAATGGGCTGGAACATCTGTGGAGCAACGCAAGCAGCATTACAATCAGAACAGGACAGCACAGCTTTTCGGGCTTTGCTGCGTTTTCAGTACTCAGAATTGCTTGTTGGGCCCAGTCCTTAGAAATTGTTCAGACAATCCTGTTATCAATGGCTGCGGCTTATTGATAGAGTTGGGTCCAAAATTCAAATTGAAGAGTCCAGATTCAAATTTTTACTGAAAAAAGTATTTATTTAGTACAGGACAATGTCTGTAATAGAATTATCTCCGGTGGGAAGATGAATTCATTTTGTTCAGATAATATTTATTGAACTCTACGCATGACACAGCCCCCAGCCATCTTAGGGATCAATATATAATACTACCTCCGGTCCTAATTATAAGAGCTAGTTGGCTAAGAAAACAAGTTAAGTTAGTTATTTGTAATAAATAGATATTATTTTTCTTAAAATATATTTACTAATCAAGTATGTTGGCTAAAACTGCAACCGTTAGAAGGACTATCTTAAAAAAAAATATATAAATATAAGAGACAAAGTAGATTATGATCTTATATTTACGATAAAAATAAAAATCAAATAAGATCTTATATTAAGGACTGAAAATAGTATTAACACTCCAGTCCCTGACGCAGATATGTTGACTTCTTGGTGATGTAGCGTTATTGGGGTGTCTAGCAATCCGCATAAGCACTTTTAAAAAGTGCTCTCCTGCAGTTCAGAATAATTTATATCACAAATATCGTATATTATAAAAAAAAATTTAATTATAATTTGGTTTTAATTCAAACACTTTTTTTTCTCCGTCGTCATCACAAAAGTCCAGACTCTTCAATTACCCAAGGTGTAAGCGTTCAGGCATGCATATTATTTGGAATGGAAGATTCCCTGTTCTACGACTTGCTGATGTGAAAATCGTATAAAATACTTGCACGCACAGTTTGACCATAGCCCTGTGATCTCTTGATTCGCATGTCTTTAAGCATTGATCAGATTGTGAACATTTCAGTTAAAAATGCTAGTGCCGTGGCTCGTTTATTGTTTATAGTACCCCTACATGATAGATACAAAAAGAAGGTGAAGAATTATAAAATAGACTCGTCACAACACACGCTTAAAATTCCAGCTCTAGGCACAGGCGCAGTTTTAACTTTCAAATGATCAATTTACACAAAACAAGTATTTAAATTAAACAATAAAAAATCAAAATAACGATATCCAAATTGTCCAAAACATATCGTTGGAATTGGATTCGGAGGCATTTGGGTGGAAATCAAACCGTGATTTTAAAAATATTTTTACAATATACAAAGTAAATATGTAAAAGCGTTTGTCTCATTTTTACGAAAAAAAGTATTTTTTAAAAACACTTTTAATGGTTGCCAAACCCTCCGAAATAAACTCAACACACGTAAAACCTGTTTGAAATTAGATCTTTTGTGGAAACAAGCAACCGGATGTCTTTACCATACTTTTGTTTTAATTTTTTTTTAATGTACAGATATTTTCTTATTAAAACAATTTTGTTTGAAAAGTTGTGGGGTGTTGAATGTGCTCTTAGAATTTAAATATTAGTTCATGTTGTAAAAAATAACCTATTTTACTAGGTTCAACGGGATACCCCCGGGGGTAAAGAAAAACAATTGTCAAAGGACTAGACGATGAGATCCATATGACCCACGACATAAACCAGGGGACATCGTCGGTTTTATAGCAAATTTTTAGACTGTGTTTGGGTGACATCCCAAACTATGGTTTGGGGAATAAATCACCCAAAAACCAAAATTATGGGTTTGGAAAAAGCAAAATTTTTTTGCTTTTGGAGAAAAAAGAGAGAGTGTGAGAGCCTATAGGATATGTATCTTGTTATTTTTTTTATAAACATATTTAATCTTATATTTTATAAATATATATACATATTAATTAATTATTAATTATATTATCTTATGTATTATTAATTATGTTAATAAAAAATATATTATTAACAATTTTATTCCTTCAAATTAAAATATATCATAAAATCTATTTTTTCTGTAATTATCATATTAACTTATATCTTTTTTTTAGTAATTTGTATATATAAAAAATGCTTCTGATAGTAACTATCCAAACACTCTCACTTCTCAAAATCACTTTTTCATAAAATCTATTCTTTCTAGAATCTATTCTCTAGAATCACTTTTCCGAACCACGGTTTGGTTTCATCCAAATACACCCTTAATAGCTATTACGCTACTGCACATAATTCGTGATGCATTTTTCTCCATCTCAACAAACCAATTCGCATCATTTGTGCAAAGAGATAAAAACTAGATTTGATGATAGTCATGGAAAAGCCACTCCATGGAGCCCACGCGACTTTTTTTGGCGAGAACGAATTACGAGGAATAATGCGTATTCCGTACAATGTACAAGAACTGCACTGGTTAATTTAAAAAAATGCCATGAGATTTCACGATGAAATTTCATTAGAAAATACTCTTAAATATTTTTAAGTTATTTGTGCTTTCACCAATAAAATTTTTTAAACTAAATAAATCAATGAATTTTTTTAACTCTTCAATATGAACATATTCTGCCACATGGATCAAATTTGAGTGTATTTATTATTTATATCCATTATGAACAATTGTCATATTCTAACACCAGTATATTTAGCTTATTTTTAATTTCAAGAAAAATAATTACACATGGAAGGCATGTACTAATTTCTCCCCGAGATCTGGCAACAATGACTTCTCTAACTCCACTAGGAGAAATAAAACGACACAAGTGCCACATAGGAAGACAACCTTTTCAGGCATCCAGCTCATACTATAAAACCTAACTATATCCAGTTAGGCAATTAGGCTCAGATTGCTCTGTTTCTTCTTAAACCCTGTACCAAAAGCCCGCCTTTGCTCTTCGGGCGCTCTTTTTCGCTCAGCGCGCTTCCTGCTTAATTGCGCGCCATCTACAAATTCAACCTCGTGAATCAGACACCTAGTGGAGCTCCTGCGTGTTTTAACTTTCATCTCTAGGGATTGACTTCGCTGAGCTTTTTTGTGCGCTACGAATTATCCTATCGCGGCGGGGAGGCTTTCTGGATGTTGCTGGCGCTGGTACCTGATCCCCATATAAATTCAGCGTTTTTTTAACTATCTGTTGGGACTCGCCAATCTCGGTGGAAAAAGATTTCTTCTTCTTCTGGTATTTTTTGTTCTGCGATTTTAGTGGTTGGGAAAAGATTCTATTTTCGTTGTAATAGTTGACTAAACGCTTGAAAGCGTTTCGGTATTCGGGGTTTGTCCGAGTCGGTAATGTGATGTTGGTCTTAATTTATTTCGTAGTGTATTTTCTGTGTTAATTACGTAGGTGGTTGACGCGCAGAAAAGAAATAGTATTAGGGTTCTTTTAGGTTGAGGCTTGAAATCTCCAAACAAAGCTGATAAAAAGGGGTGTTGAGAGGAATTAGAAGAAGAAACCGTAAATGGTAGGGAAACGACTGGGTGGATATTTTGTGTTTGCGCAAATATTGTTAGCGTTCTCGTGAATGGCTTTGATTGAAGGAAAATGGGTGTTCATTTGTTTTCAAGCTTTGTCTGCATGGTGAGATATTTTTAATTGGACCTTTCTGACCGGGGTTTATATGCCGTTACCATCATATTGATGATGAAAGAGATGGGATCTGGCTGTTACAAGTCTATCGCATTAACACTGATTGCTAAACTTCAGAGAATTTTCGGGACTTAGTTATCAGAACCTTATATTTGACCTCTGCTCCAATTAAATTTGTTTCCTTTTAAGTTGACGTTATGTGTGACCAATTCCATAGAAGCCTACTTGTAGCTTGGGCAGTGCATCTTAGTAGACTTTTAGGACCGCCAGAATTTGGAAGTTTATCGAATGAATTGATATTGACTGTGTTCTAGGACCTTAAATTATTGAATGCCACAGAAAAAACAAAGGACTTTTTCACTCTTGTCATGTATGTCATCTTTCTGCGAATTCTTTGAAAAACAACTTTGGTTATTGATAATGATCATCTTCTCCTAAATCAAAACAGAAGTCTGAGAGCTGGCTGTATTTCTGGTAATGTAATACCTGCTGTAGATTCTGTCCACATCTCAGAATGTTCATTGACATGGAGGCTCAGATTCACCAACTTGAGCAAGAAGCATACTCATCTGTCTTGCGTGCTTTCAAAGCTCAGTCTGATGCTCTTACTTGGGTATTTCTCTAGCTTCTTCCTCAACTTCTTGTATGATCTCTGTATTTTCCTTCTTTAAAGGTTTATCCTTGCCATTTCATGATTTCATCAGGAGAAGGAAGGCTTGATAACTGAGCTCAGGAAAGAGTTAAGGGTTTCAGATGATGAACACAGAGAGCTTCTTACAAGGGTAAATGCTGATGAAATTATCCACCGGATACGGTAGAGTGTTTCTTTCAACATTAGCTACGATGTTGCCAAACTAATTATGGACTACTGTTTCCTTTTTCATTATTCAATGATTTGTGATGGGAAATGCAAGCAGGGAGTGGAGGCAAACTGGTAGTTATCAACCTTCAATGCGCAGCAGTTCTCAACCTATTCAGGACGTTTTACCCAGCCCAACTGTTTCTGCTTCTCGCAAGAAACAGAAGACTTCCCAATCGGTACCTTCTTTTGCACATAAAGTGCTGTGAGCTTTAACAGCAGCAGCAGTAGCTCTATGCATTTCTTTTTCTTTTTTTTCTTTTAACTTTCAACTGCCCTCAAGGATCTGCTTGATGACTCAGCATTGCAATTTATTTCTTTTTTACAGAAGTACAAAGAAAAATCTTACATCTGACTTCCATTTTTTGGGAAACATTTTCCGCTAATTTTGGTGCCAGGTTCAGTCATTACCTGGATTGTCTTCAGTGAAGTCTGCGCAGTATCCTGCTGGTGCTGCTGGAGGAAGGCATTTGACAAGTCGCAGTTCTTTTAATGCCCGCCCATCTAATGCATCTGCTGAGGCAGCAACTTCTGATCCATTGATCGGGAAGAAAGTTTGGACTAGATGGCCTGAAGACAACCATTTTTATGAGGCTGTCATAACTGATTATAACCCTGCAGAGGTATGTTTAGGTTTTCACATATTTGATTTTTATATAATGAAGTAGAGATTTGATGAATGTAAGGTTTATTTATATCTTCCTACACCCTTCACTGCTAGATCACTCTAGTGTTTATACTTCCTTCTTACTGGTTCCCATTATTTGCAGGGCCGTCATGCGTTGGTTTATGACATTAGCACACCGAGTGAAACATGGGAATGGGTTAATCTCAAAGAGGTATTTCTATATTTTGTTGCATAGAGTGAAACAGTTATTTTAATTTATTAGCTACTAATTTCAGTGCAGCAATAGTGCTAGATATGTCAATTTGCAACAATATTAAACCTTGTGACACAGCGTAGAACTCAATGCATTACTTCCATATATGACCACAATGACGATGACGACAAGCTTGAGCCAATGTTTGCATTTGCTTGAGTCTCAATTGATCTTTTTAGATAATAATATAACAGCATTTGGAGTTTGTTATATTGGTACTTAATAAGAAGCAACTAGTGGAATTTCTTTCTAGTTACACACACATTATGTAACACTTTGAATATGTAAGATTTAATGATAGTAAGGGATTTAGAATTTCTTTTTCAAGTAGAATTTTATTTTTCCTTTGATTTGAAGTTTTTTAGAATAACTTTTTAAGTTTCCTTGGCTTGAGAGCTATGCTTATTATTGTCTGCTTGCATTTACCGTCAAGACTTGAGAGTGAGTACTCTTACTATTTATTGGACTTGTTGGGACTTAGAACGGGGAACTACTCCCTCTTTACCCACTGTGATTATGATTATCAGTCTAATTAACAATTAGTCTAGGTTAACATATATTAGATGGTGACTCAGGTGTGTACTTGTTCTTGAGTCGTGACCCATGGGCTTGAAAATATTAATCACGATATGTCTCAAGAAAACCAAGCATGCACAAGTTCTGATTTAAGCTGAAAGTATTGTGTGAGTGAACTGTCATTCATTCTGAATACGTTTGTTACTTGGTTGCTTTGATAAAACTCAACATATGCAACGTATAAATTTAATGACTAATAATATATGCAATAACGTGAGTTTTTCCAAGAGGATGATTACTTCTATCTTTAGGATATTGATACGTGATTGGTTATAGATATCACCTGAGGATATACGATGGGATGAAGATCCAGGCATACCCCATAGAGGTGGTCCTGGTGGGCAAGGCCATGGGGTTAAGAAATCTTTTAGCCGCACAGTTGATACTATGGTTACCGGGAGAGGGAGAGGACATCCAAAGGCTCAGCCGAGAAAAGAATATCACCTGCCGCAAAATGGTATTGTAAAAAGAGTATTGGATGACTTTGAGTTGCTGAATACAGAGTTACTGGTTAAAGAGGTGAGTGCCATGTTTAAGCACTTTCATTGGGAGTAAAAAATATTAATCATTTATGGCGCTGTTGTTGCTTGAACAGGTGGAGAGGGTTTTTGCCGTGAATCACCCAGATCCTACGGAACTTGAGAAAGCTAAAAATATGCTGAAAGTATTATCTCGGAGCTTCTTGCTAGTTCTTTTTCTTGACATCCATGCTGTTATTGCTTTTCTAACTATTGCCCGTGCAGGAGCATGAGCAGGCACTTATTGATGCAATTGCGCGACTCGCAGATACATCTGATGGTGAAAGTGGTAATGACTAGATACCGTCAACATAATCATACTGTATTCTATTCTATATTTCAACTTGTTTCATTGTTTTAGTGGCTGGGATTTTAGGTATACGAAAATTAGCATTATGTAAACAGACAAAATGTTTGGCATTTTAAACTTTTGGGTTGAAACTTTGAGAACAATGTTAACTCTGTTAACAAAGGGGAATCCATGCATTACCAGAGTGGGAGGGATAGAGCATAGTTGCATCTCTGAGGGTTACCCGTGAGAATGCAAATAACAGTGAACATGTGCGTGAGGCATTGGCCCCCATCTCAGTTAACTAAGATCTATTGGTCATGTTTGCAGATGGAGAACACCCACTTTTGGATGGGCAGTTAATGGAGACTGGATGAGAGGGTAGACAGAGGGAGACGAGTCTCTCCGAAAGTACTATTTAAGCTCTCTGGTAGTTTTATGGAAGCGAAATTGTGAATGAATCCCGGGGCAGGCATGAAAGGACCCAGCTGTATTTAATGACCAACAAGATAACCATTTTAGTAATGAATTTCTGCCATTTGTTTCTGTATTCTTAATATGTGCCAATTGTGTGTCCAGTGGTGATTAAGAAAGACTCGCCATTTGTCAGCCCCGTAAATACAAGACAATAATTTCATTATTTGATAAACTTTGGTCAACCGCCGTGGACTGGAAAACTTTAGTCTCACCAATTGATTTGTACGGGGCACCTTAATTAGTCACAGACGCGGCTACTCTCAATGGGATTTTTGGTCCCCCAGAAAACCATATTTCATTCAAGACACCCGGGAATCACATCGTCCCCTTCCCTCCTTGTAACAAAGCGCAGAGCAGAACAATAATATGGAAGTTAACTTGCACTAAAACTCTTTGATTTTGGGCTACAGCTCTTAACTGGTTTAGTCAAAAGGAGATGTGAATGTGTTTACCAGCTAACTTCCGACCCAGTTCAAAACTTCAAATCACCAATAATGGTGTATTTGATTCAATAGAAGAAGAATTTTTATGGAGAAGAACATTAATTTTGAACCAAATCGCTCTTGCCCCTTTTAAAACCCTTCAACTGGAACTAATAATGCAAGGGTTTAGTTTGCTCCCTATTAAAAGCTTCTTCTCCAAGACTCCATTAATTAAGATCCTTAACCACCTTTACTTTCGCCCTTCCCGCAAAATGTGAATGCGACGTTGATAATTTTCTTCTCCCCAGTAACTTACACGAGCGTATTTCTGCTGACAATCACAGTGAGACCTCTTGCAAGAATCCCCGTTCCCCTCGTCGCTTCGTATTAAAAGCACTCGCACGCAAGTTTGATTTATGTTTGTTTATCAAAAAAGAAGTTTGATCTATGTTTTAAACACTTGGGTGAGAAAAAGAGGACCTGTCTTAAAAACAGAGTTCAGAGGAATAAAGGGTGGTAATTGATCACCCAGATAAATTCCGATTGCTTCTGCACGAGAAGTTTATGCCTGATGCTGCATGATCACGCAGTGCGACCAATTTTATCACTTGTGCGAGCAATTATGGAATGGATCATCATTTTCACAGAAAAATTGTATCCGCCAAGTCACAGTTAATTATATGTATGAAGCTATCATCTCTGGTGTTCCATACAAAGTAAGACTTGATCTGAAAAGCCAACGTCAAACCGAGACCTTCTGAGAAAACTCCAGAAAAGTAGCTGTGGCCAGCATTATATATTTGGATGAACTTTTTTTTTTTTTTCTTTTGAAGTGGGAAATTTTAATTAACGAATACACTAGGAGACGTCAGGCATGCAGCCAAGAGGCCCTACTTGAATGAAAGACTACTTGAGATGACAAATGGTTCCCCCGTTTCGTTGTGGTTCTAGGATCCGAATCGGTCATTAGAAAATACTACCAATTTTTTTTGGTAATAGGTTAACTTTCAATTGTATTCTAAGGGGGGTGTTTGAGTAATATCAAAATCATGGTTTCAGAAGTACTTTTACGATATACGAAATAAATATGTAGAAGAGTTTGTCTCGATTTGCAAAAAAGTATTTTTGAAAAATGATTATTGGGGTATCCAAACACCCCCTAAGTATACAACTCTAATTTATTTTATCTCTCATATTTACCTATTTTTTTCTCAAAATAATTTTTACAGTAGTTGCACTTATTTAATATTTCATTAAATAACTGTTCTAATCATTAGAAAATATAACACCTATTTATTAAAATAACAAGCTTACTGATTTTCTTAATGTGTTCAAATTACTCAATTAGCTTTTATATTAAAAACTGTAATAATATTATTGAATATAGAGTAATTATATTCATCATGGGAAGATGAACCTAATTGTGTATATTAGATTTTCATCAAAATTATTATGGTTATTTTTACGATGTAAAACTTGAAACAAATATTATTACTGCCATTACAAGGGATGAATAACCAACAAACAATTACAAAAATTAAATGATTTAGGTGTTACAGGTTCATCAAAGCCAAGACATACCTCTAAAATTAGAGAGCTTACAGATCATTAATCAACAAGGTTCGGGACTTAAACTTACCACCTTTTGAGTTATAAACTGATTTCCTTTCCAACTGCATCAAGTTTTATTGGCGGCTATTATTATATTTTGAATAAAAAAAACTCTTTAAAATGTCACTTACATGCAATGTCAGAGGAAGTACGAATCATGTCTTGGGGACATCCTCTAGTGGAGATAGGGCAATAAATTACAACGACGAGAGAATTAAGACAGTAAATTAGGACGGACCACGACTAATACTTTTGTTAATTAATCACGAGTAAAAGAGGAAGAACATTATTTTTCTAACATTAACTGCGTTTAACTGCATTTAATTATGTTTATTTGTGTATATACATTAATATAATATCATTCGAGTTACTCCATTCACTTCTAAATATAAAATTCACATAACTATTTTGGTTAGGTTTTAAACATCATGTCTCATTTTCTTATATCCTCTGCATTAAATTTTGAAAAAATCTGAATTTAGGTATTTCGACTGGATTTAATTGGGATTCTCCCAAAAAAATAACTATTGAATTTTAAAATTTTAAATTAGAAATTACTATAAAAATATGTTGTTATTTGTTTTTCAAGTGTAATCATTTTTTTACAAGTGTAATAATCAATACTGATTTGAAATTTTAAAATTCAACAGTAATTTTTTTGAGAATTTTTTTTAAATTTTTTTCCTCAAAATACTATTATTTATTAAAATATTTTTACCTCTTCACATTAAATTTTAATCATTAAACTGCGGGATTGCTATAACTAATTCTTTAAAAAAAAATTGTACCCACTTCTTCAATACTCATACTATGTTAAAATATTCAAGAAAAAAATAGAGTATACGGTAAGTATGTGAAAGGACTTTAATTTCATGAAATGTGAAAAAATTACTTGAATTGATTATGACGTTTTTCAAAAAAATAAAGGGAAGTCAGATGTTGTGATTTATAAATAATCTAACTTTTTATAAGTTTAATAATATAAAATATCAAAATTATTGCAAACAAAAAAATTCATGACATAAATTTTTCTGTAATTATTTTTCTTACATGCGTTTCCTTTATGATATAACAAAATATAAGGTCAGTCACTTATGATGAAAAATTTTACGATCTTTCTAAGAAAGATAAATAGGAGCACAAATGTTTTTCACGTGCGTGGGACTGCGTGTCCGAGTATATGGAAGCGGCTCTTAATCTTCGTCTTTGTGTTCTAGTCTCTCAGGCTTCGCTTCGCTGATCTTGCCTGCAACCCAAAACTCCGAAGTGCCCTGAATCACGTCTGAAATCCGAGGAAAACCGAGGGAGGGATCACACAATCATGGCCAGGTCAGTGAAATATGAATTGAGCGCTAGCAGGGCTGGTTTTGAAGCGGCCGTTACCCCCGCCTCTGCTTCTGAAAGCAACGAAGAACGTAGAGATCTTCGTTCTCGCTACCAGTCCGTGAAGAACTTTATTCACGGTAACTTATTTATGTTTACCTCTCTCTCTTCGTATTCGCCGCATCATCCGTGTTTGGTTTAGAATTTCACACCGTTCCTTGGGCCCCAAGTCTCGAACGCACAATTTAATTTCCAATTCCCTGTGATTCTTTTGGCCGACTTGCCTTGCTATTTTTTTAAGTTATCGCAATGGCCAGGCTTGATTGAGTGATTTACTAAACCTACTTTAAAAATCCAGATTCCGCGTGTTTGTTGACTCCTGTTTCTCGGCACCAACTACTAAATAGCAGCTTGCTATTTTGCAGATGACAGCGAAGACATAACAAGCCCTAACACTGATAAGTTTGATTTGATCTTTAGAGATGTGGAGAGCTTACATCAACGAGGTATAAAATTTTCCTTTATTTGGATATCGACCGCATTTCATGATGTTGGATGACAGTCCTAGTTGTTTTGGATATTTTCAAAATAACAGAATCAAATGACTTTGTGATAACAAATAAACATTCGATGACCTTTGAGTCCATATGAAATTGTTTCCTTTGTTGGTGTCAAATGCCGGTGTATATGGTTGCTGCCTATTTTGTTTCATGATGCAAGCTATATGAGATTTTATTTTTTGTTCTTTTGCCTGTTCTCCCTGCTTTCAGTTAGAAAACCCAGAGAACAAGTGGCTGATGCAAAAGCACTTCTGGACATCACCGAGTGCTTGGTATCGTCTGTGAAAGCTCACGTCAATGATGGATTAACTCCTTCAGACTTTGTCTTGCATATCCTGAACGAATTTGGAGAACGATGTGAATCAAATGCTAGCGCTCAGGACTGCAGGAACTCAATACGATGGAGGGATCTTGGAGTTGCTGTATCAGGTGTTTTCAAAGGAGTTACTGGGTGCAGCACCATGTAATGTTAATACATTAAGGGTTCTCTGTCCTGTTATTTGTTGTCATATTGTTACGTTCCTTTATATATTCATTTCGATTTTTTCTTCTTCAGGATTGGCCCCATGGATACTGAAATAAATCAGAGAAAGACAGTTAATCGAAGAAAGCGAATGAGATCAACTCAAATTGCTCGGCCAGAAGAGGTAAAACATATAGTCTGCAGTTTTTGCCAGACAGAAATTGGCTGGAAGAGATTTAGATTTTTGTTAGACCTTTCTTTCATGTACAGATTGTTGTCTTTAGTTCCAGTGCTGTAATCTTCCTACTAATCTTCTGCCCGTTTATAACCCATTTTATTATAGTTGGAACATAATAAAGGTGTGGTGCATTGTGTCCGAAGTTACTATGGAAATAAATCATTCAAGAATTTTAACACGTACATGCATCTCGCTTTCTTTACAGTCTTTACTTTTTAGGATACAAAACTAGTCATCCTTATGTTATCGGTTCTTAATTATCTCAGTTTCCCGATGTAACTGTACTTTTGTGCAGCTTGATGGTTGTTCAACGGAAAGGATAGTTGATACGGATGAAAACATGTCAACCATGTTTAATATCTTGAGGGAAAACAGAGTTGTCAAACTTGAAAATTTGGTATTGAATAGGAACTCTTTTGCCCAGACAGTGGAGAATTTATTTGCTCTTTCGTTTTTAGTCAAAGATGGAAGGGCCGAGATAAAAATGAATGAGAATGGATGGCAACTAGTTTGTAAGTAACTTCAAAAATTCTTACAGTACTATTCTCACTCGCTGCCGTCTACCTATTTATCTCTTAAATGATATTATCTATAACTTTTCTTCATGCACCTGCTTTATGCCAGCACCAAGAAACGCTCCTGCTGCAACAGAAGTTCTTTCCGGGGAAGTTGCTCACAGCCACTTCGTCTTCCGATTTGACTTTAAAGATTGGAAGGTATTCTGAAGCAGCTGTATGTAAATAATTTCACTGCTTTTCTTTTGTGTTTAATTAGAGGTATTTTTAATTTTGCCAGCTGTTTAGGGGTATTAAATTTGCTGCTTTATTTTCTTTCATTGACGATTAAAAGGACTGTTGAATATGGAGAATGAAATAGAAGGAAAAATTGAACTTACAATTTATACATGTTCTTTGGTTTCTGCATATAAAATAGTTAATAATAGTGAAGGACTGATACTGCTTGGTGACGTCTTTTTACTACCAAACACCTCCTAATTGTGGGATCATTGTATATTGGCCTTAGCAATCATGTGGCTCTGCTTACAGCAAATGATTTGCTAGGCAGGCAGAAGGAAATGACAGAGCAGGAATATCTGGCTCATCCTAGAAGCTCGAGTTTTTCTACATGCATTACATGTTTCGCACTAGAATATAAATGATCATATGGGTTTCTAAGTTGTCACGAAGCCATCATGTTGCTAGCTGTACTTCTGAGTTTCGTTTTCAGTATGTATCTTTCTTCATCGTAATATAATTATATGTGATCTTCCTAACGGAAGCCATCTGTGCAAAGAAGGACACAATTTAATTCCTGTTAATGTACATTTTATCTTATCATAAGTTTTTGCCGAACGAATTTATATGAAACTCCAAATTCTTTCTTGCTTAATGTCTTCTTTAATGTCTTGTGTGAAATTCTCAGCTGATGACCCGCACTGTTGGGATTGGTGAGGAGATGATGCCGCACAGGAAGACAACCATCATCTGATTCGACGGCGGCAGCAGCTCTGGATGTTATTATTAACAGATGGCCAAGTGTTGCTTGACTCGCCAGTTTGACTTTTAGCAAATTGGCAATGGAAAACTGATAATGGAGGCCAAGGCATCGGTGATGCTGGTGAACGTGTGCTGTCCACAGATTTTTACATCTTGGTTTCTATTTTGTTTTAGTTTTGCACTGTCCTCAGTAATAGCCACCCTTTGTTGGGAATGCATTATGTATATCCGCACCATTCACCATCATGTACGTGTGTTAGAAGTTATAAATATGGTCCAGTAGTTCGATATAGTTGGCCGAAAAATAAAGGTAGCTCAATATAAAGCCTTCTCTTCAACAAGTTCTTTTGTTGCTTAGCGCGCCCGTGATTTGGTAGCACCACATGGCCAAAGTAAGGTTTAATTTTATCTTTAATTTTAAAAAGTATATATTTAGTTTTTTTAATTATGAAATTGTTTAAAAAAATGGTGACATTAAGACCTTAAATGTTGATAAAACATTTTAAATGCTAACAACTTAACATATTAAATTTAATCATCGAAACAACTATAAATGTTACAAAAAATCATAATTTAGTCTAACAATTTTAGAATTAAATGATCAAATGTATACTTTTTAAAGTTAAGGAACCTAATTAAAACTTTATATAAAGTTAAATGACCAAATACATATTTATTGTTAAGTTACTTTTTAATATTCTCTATTGTATTTTCAATATAAAATTTATTTAATTAATTTAATTTGATTAAAAAAATCATATAAATTAATTATAATAGAATGATCTACCTAAAATATCTATATATAATATTAAATTTTATATTAATTTATAAAGTTTAGTAAATTAGTTTAGAAAACAATAATGAGCATTAAAAAATATGGTGAATTGATGTTTTATATTTAATATCAAATATAATCTATTAACTAACTTTTGAGTATATATTTTGACACATGCGTGCCCATAATACAAATGCAGGAAATGCACTCGTTCCTTTTTATTATTTTATTAGTGTTTTCAAAGTCTTAAAATTTATGCTATCAATGGCTGATTGTTTATTACTAAATATTGACACTTGTCATTACTATGAATTAGTTATATTCAATAATAATGTTTTTAAATAGTATTATTCTTTTTTACACGATCATGCATCTTGCTCTTTAAAAGCTCAAACATCTCCCTGATTAGTGTTGGAACGGTCCTGTGCAATGCCCTGGATTTCGTTCCCAGCTGCACAAATTTTTAGTTGCCACAAAAAAGCTTCCACCATCTTTAATCCTTAATATAAAAACTAGATAACTAATTTGAGTAAATTAAAAAAAAAACTAGTTAAATTGATTATTTGTAATAGATATGTGTTGTTTTTCCTAAAATATCTTTACTAATCAAGTGTATTAGCTAGAATTATTATTATTACAATGATTATCTTGAGAAAAAATAGATAAATATGAGAGATACAATAAATTGAGGTCTTATATTTAGGATGAAAATAAAAATTGAATGAGTTTTTATATTAAGAATCAAAAGTAGTATATGCACAGTAATCTTAAAATTTGATATTTTTATTATAAATTAGGCTTAATTTTTGGGAAGAGGGACTATAATAATCTATGTTTTATAGAAACCAAAATGGTTTCAGAAGTGCTTTTACGGATTACGAAGTAAATATGTTGGGAGATATCTCGTTTACGAAAAATGCTTTTGAAACTACAGTTTTGAGATATCCAACAGGCCTCTAATCCACAATAGGATACAAATGGAAGAGGGACGGTAAAATAATCCTAACCTCACCCACTTCCCTTGGCCGTGAAATTAGTGTTTTTCTTTTGTAGGGCTAGATTTGCACACACGTCAGCAAAAGTTAACGGCTCCATCACAGAGTCCGTGAGTCGCGAGTCGTGACGTCGAAGCAACCTTAATGGCTGTTAATAAAATGAAAAAAAAGGGAGAAAAAAAAAAAAAGGCTCGCCCTCCCTAGTCCCTCCTCACTTGAAGTCGGTGCGGTGGCAAACCCCTGTAATTCCTAACAGTGGAGTAAAAACTGAAAACCCTAATGTCAATTATTTATTGGGTCACTAAAATAGTAAATAAATAAATAATAGGCCGATTTTATTATTAATAATATCCTCTCCGACGAGCCCTGCCCTTCCTTTCGAAGCCCCCACATCCCAGAGCAGCTCAGCGCCCTGCTCTTTCGAAACCCTCTTCTAGGGCTAGGGTTTCCCAGCTTATCCCTCTCTGCTACTGCTATCCTCTTGATCTTTCTGTATTCCAGCGATATTTTCATCTGCTGTCTGTGTGCTTGTCGGTTGAGGTTATTTTTATTCGGATCTTGATCCATTGCTTTCTTAAAATGGATATTCGTAAGAGGGGGAGGCCGGAGGCTGGCATCAACGTTAACGGTGGCCTCAAGAAGACCAAGCAAGGTTTGCTTTTCTTAGTTTCCATCCTTTTCTGCTCACATATTTAACATGTTCCAGAGTTATTCTAGCTCCGTCTCGCGTATTTGGATTTTCATATTTTAGAAGCATCTTTATTTCTGCTTTATTGTTTAGTGGCTTTTCTTTGGTGATTATTTGCTTCGGCCTATCCGAGCTGGATTTTTTTAGTACCCTTCCCTGTTGGTAAGCTGCATCTGAAATTATTCTTCAGCTACCCTTTGATTCTCGCGTAAATTAAAAATCTTTGGACTTTAAAATTAGAGTCTCGTCCGTCCAAGCTTATTTGGAAATTAAATCCTTGCTGAAAATTTGCAAAGAATGTATTATTTTCAGTCTTATTCCTGAATTTTTTTTTCCCCAAGTCCACTTTTTCATTCGTAATATTCCCTGCTAGGTTTACCCTTGCATTGGTAATGTTTTCCACTTGCGCAAGCATACCTGTAGTTGTAAGTAAAGTTGTTTTGAATTGGTCCATCAACTAATGGGAAGACCGTCTGTGTTCAGGATAGGAAAGAAACCAATTTTTATTGGAAGATTTACTGCCTTTCACTTTTGTGATAGCCACAATTTGCAATATCCGTGATTGCTAAAAACACTGCCTTCATTTGTCAGCTAAAATGAAAATGATTAACTTTAAACATGTTCTCCTTTCATGATGACTCAAAAAGGGCAAGAGTCCATTTCTAGTCTCTAAAGCTCAACTGAAGTTTTAATTTAGTCTGATAACTTTATTCTGGTTCAATGTCACCTTCAAAGTTAAATTATGCTTCGACTTCACGCACATACATATCGGATAAGTTGACGAGTGCAAGTTGTGCCAGCTTATATCCAACTGACAGTTTTCTATTCATCTCAATACAATCCCTGAATCGGTGTACTTTAGGGCTAAACAACCTCTCCCACTCTGGTACTCAATCCTTAATAGGTTAAACCAACTAAATGAATAGCCAAAGATGTTGCTGATGCTTCAAGACAACAATTAAATTTACCTACAAGATCCGAGTGATGTCCAATTTAGCGCTGCAGTCATTCCACATCTACCATCAATGCTCGAGATTGCTTCAATTTGTCGGTGTTTGACTCAACTATTAGTAGACAGCACGAGATAGCTCCCATAATGCTTATATACCATAACCCTTTTGCTTGGATATAAGACGTCTAGTGTTTCCTTCTTGATTTTATACCATATTCTTCATAATCCAGGTTAGATCTGAGTTTCTTTTGCAGCGATGTGGAACACCACCTTAATGCCAGACTGAGTACATAAGGTCAAGCTGTAACAAGTTGTCCTGCAGCATTTGGGTTTAGGGATTGGAGAAATTGCTTAAACTCTAAAATGCATGTTGGGAGTTTTTATTTGGAGAAAGGAAAAAAAAAATGATGAGTTGGAGCATTCTGTACTAGTCTGCATCTGCGTTCAACTTGATATGTTGATGTTCATGAGCCGTATCAGATACTTCCGTTAGGGAAACTATTGGGCCAGGGAAAAATATCACAAAACATTGAAACCCACATTGAACCAAAATAAATTTGTTGAACTAATTCAAAACTTGTGTGAAGCTTTAGGGACCTAAGATGGACTTTTGCCTACCTGAAAATAACATATCATTTGAAGCGTTAACAATTTTCATATAAAATGTTCTAAGTCAATAAGCAAGAGAATATTAACTGAGAAAAAGTAATTAATGTTTTGCAACAGAATTGGAGTCCTTATCAACTGGTGTAGGAAGCAAATCGAAGCCTTGTACCAAGTTTTTCAGGTTCTAATCTATTCTTATCTAAATAAATATTTGAAGTGTACAGTTATTTTTTTCCCAAAAGAATGTTATAAGTTAATTTAATAATTAAATGTGCAACTGTTATAAAACTCTGCAAATTAACCTGATTATTGGAGGTTTTTATACAGGTACATACTGTTGTCTGCTCTAATCAAGTCATAACAGAATATTGTTTTTATGGAGTACGGAAAAGATAATATACACCTATGTTGGACAGTTGGTGTTGAGCGCTCACCTCTATGCGAATATAAATTGATAATTGCCCTCTTCATGTTTGCCTTACAGCTTTATAGTATTAATGTGTCCCACGCAATTAAGCACTATTTAATGCTAATACTCAGCTCTTAGTGGATTCTACGGCTTATGAACCACATTTAACTTGGTGAGCCAGTAATAAGTTAATACAATGAACTTTGATCAGTTGGAACAGGTATGATATCAACATGAAATACATCTGGATTTTTGTATTGTGGTGCTCCGCACGATCTCTTTAGAATTGAAGAGACATACGCCCTTTCTCATATTCAACCTTAACTAGATGTATTGTATCCTAATCTTCTTTCTGATTGCATCAGACTTTTATCTAGGAATTAGGTGTGTATTGAAACGCAATGCTCTTTGTTATTTTTTGCCATCGTTGTATCTATGAAATCGTTGCACTTATTGTGACAGTCGTGATTATTTTCTCCTGCTATGGCAACAACTTTATAGCATTATCAGTTTAATTGCACATTCAGTTCTAGCATTGTTTTAATCTTCACTGTAGGTGATATAGTTAGGTGTATATATTGATTGAAAATGTTAACCTATGTAGGAAGTTGTGATTTTGTGCTTGCATGCACTCTGTTGCATAATTGTGAGCTACTTAAGCTGCCTGCATTCTATTTTATAGTTTTGCCGGCCGATTCTTAGTTGTTAATAAATTTTAGCCTCTTGAATCACAATATGATACTTGAGGTCCGTGATGTCTTTCTGGGTTTTACAATGATGTTGGAATTTCTTCCCCTGGATTTCAGTTGAGAGTGTCGGATCCTTTGCTGCTGATGAATGTGACTGTTTTCCTGAGTATTTGTTCA